AGCATTGGCTCTTTATCCTGTCTCGACCGGGCTCACATTAAAGAGCAGCTGGTGTAGGTTACCAGGGAAACACGCATGCCACCTTCAGAGACTGTCACTAGCACCTCAGCTAGACCAATGCACATAGCTTAAGGCCATTTGAAGGATAAACAGCAGTCCCAGCCAGCTCTGTACATATCAATAGGAGGAAATAGGGTCAGGGTCAGTCAAAACGGAGACAGTAGCTCTTCTTTTAAAGAGCTGCTCACGTGGTCCTCCACACTGGTCAGCGACACACCTGGAGTTGTGTTTATTTCATATGGTGAGGACCCCAGTTCCACTCCTTCCCAGGGTCATTGGTGATTGGTTATTGCACTTCTTGCTAGGGGGCTGAGTTTCATGGACTAACCCAAACTCATTTAGCAAATGAGTAGCCTAAAGTAGCAGTCTGTCCTTACAGGAACACAGTGTGAACCTGCAGATTGTCAGCTTGGCTGAGTGCTGTGACACAGAGGACCTGTCTCTATTTCCTTGAGGGCCCTGTCCCTTATTCACTCTTCCCCTGGGTCTCGGCCATTGCTACATTAGGGGAATTTGCGTCGGGAATCAGAACAGTGGCTCCCTGATTGCTGGAAGCTTCCTCGGTGCATGGCTGCTCCAGCCAGAGCTGTTAGAAATAAACAGTGCATGGTGATTTGGTCATTTATCAAGTGGCCACTGAGCAAGGCAACTCTGTATTGAAAATGACCATTGGAAGCTCAGGTTTTCAAACCAGTTTCCTTACCTCGTTAAGGTTTAAAGAAAATTGGGATTTAAAAAAAAAAAAAAACACGATGATTTTTGCCCTTGCAGCTCCTCATAGCACAGAAGGCTGCATGTGCATTTCCTGAGGGAGTTCAGTCTTGGGCTGCCGCTGTGGCTCCTGCCTCTTCTACATTACTTCTCATCCACATGGCTGATCACACGCCTCAGCCTCAGGTCCTTTTCCACAGCTAGATGGCTGTTCCTGCAAGTCAGGCTGTTTTAATGAGGCCTCCCAGAGTTTAGAACACCAAAGAAAGTGCTGGGGATATTGGCAACAGTGATCTTGCCCTTAGGTCAGTGTTTTCAGGGTGACAAAAACTTAGGGGCTGTATGCTCTCCTGGCCTGAGAGGGTCGGAGGTCTGTGCAGGGGAGCCTAGTGCCAGGCCCCGTGACTGTGTCTTCTCCTATTACTGATGCTCTACCTCTTGGTGAGGGAAGAGTGGACGTTAGGAAACTGCTCTTGGAGGTAAGATACCTGGGTGGGCCTCATCACTGAAGTGGAACAGGGAGGGCGTTCTCCTGGTTCCCAGATGCTTTGGACATTGTTTATTGCTGGTGGACTGAAGGCAGACATTCTGCCCTGAGCTCCGTGTCCCTACTTCTGTATTCAGTTTGTGAGATCTGGGCCTACTCACTGCCCAGGCTAGGGGGAGGGCGTTGGCTACTGTGTCCACCTCCCTCCCTGCTGAGGAGACAGGCGTGTAGCAATCTTCCCATTCAGGGTTGGGCCTCTAAGCACTGTGATTCCCCCCCCCCCCATTTCCCTGCCTGAGTCGAGTACGCATCAGCGAGGCCTGGTGGTGCCCGCCTTCCACCCCAGCTGCTTGGGAGGCTGAGGCTGAGCTTTGAGCCGCCAGCGCAGCCTGGACGGTGCAGGAGGACTGCGTTTCCATGTGGAGTAAATGTTTTAGGATGTTTGTGTATAACATGCTTGAATACCTGAGTGTTAAATCTTTAAGAAAACAGAGAAATTATGTAGTGGAAATCTTTTGGTCTTGTAATTTATTTCCTTCTGTCTCTAGAGGTACATGGTACAGCACCTGCTTATGGTGATGGACAGCAGTCAGGCGTCCCTGCTCTGTCAGCAGCTGGACACCCTGGGTGAATAGCCAGGGAGTACAGTGCACTGTTCTGCCTGATCCTTTTTTTTTTAATGGTGTGTGTGTGTGTGTGTGTGTGTGTGTGTGACTGGGGATCAAACTCAGGCCCTTGCGCTTGCTTGCCAGGCAAGCACTTACTCTTCTGAGCCATTTCCCTGGCCCCTGCCTGATCCTTCTGCGATAGTTACCATTTTATTATGAATTTGTCCAGATATTCCAGAAATATCTCCCAAAACAAAGGAACATGTCTTTGTTTGTTTTGTATTTTAGGGAAGGGTCCTCAGGTTCTCTCTACTAGATCTGACTCATAGTGATCCGCCTGTTTACAGCCTCCTAAAAACTGGGATTACAGGCATGCCCAGTCTCAACTGCCCTCTCAGTGCACCCCGGGGGCGGGGGCGGGGGCGGGACCGGGACCGGCCAGCACGCTAGGCTCAGGAATTCAACGCCAAGGCCTGCAAACGCACTTTCATCCACTGAGCTATTTGGCCAGCCCTAGCTGCACTTTCTGATACCCTCTTCAACCTCATTTTTCAGAGAACTGAGGCCTTTTACATCCTTCATTACACTGATTCTGAGGTTTTTAATTTGTTTGACTGCTAGTGACCACAGGAGCATTGTTTCCTAATTTCTCTCAGTGAGTTTGTTATTCACGTATAAGAACTTTTTGCATGATATTTTGTACCCACTATGCTACTCAATTTGCTTATTAAGTCTAGCAGTTTTTCAGTGGCATTTTTGAGTTTTCCACGTGGACTATCATATGATTTGTGCATGATGATCATTCATTTCTTCCTTTCCTGTCATTATTCCTTTTCTCTCTCTGTTCTAATTGCTGTAGCTAAAGTTGCCAAGACTATGCTGAACCAAAGTGGAGACAGTGGACTCCTTGCCTGACTCCTGAGACTAAGTGCTTTCCTTTTTTGTCCCTTTAGTGTGAATTACCATGTTAGCTATTGGCTTGTCACGATGACTTATTCCGTTCAGAAAAAGATGATCTCTTGATTTTTCTGTCAGGCTTTTATCATGAATAGGTGCTGGACTTTGCCAAAAGGGTTTCCCCCCCTATTAAGATGAAATATGATGTTTGTCCTTGCTCTGTTAATGTGGTGCATTCCATTTATTTACATTTGTTGAACCATCCCTGCATCCCTGGGATGAATCATATTTGGTCATGGGGTATCATTCTTTTTTTTTTGTTAATGTATTTGGTCATTACAGGGTTGCACTATGCAGCCAGGCTGGGATAGTGGTTCTCCTGTTTTCAACCTCCCAGGGCTGGGGTTACAGGTGTGTGCCACCACACCCAGGCTCTGGCTGGCTCAGCCCGCTCAGGGTGGGGCTGGCACTGTCTGTGTGCAGGGGATGGAACTGCATCCCTGGGCTTGCCTGAGCTTTGCCAAGCGGGCGCTGTGGTTCTCTGAGCCATCTCACTGACCCTCATGGGGCAAACGCTTGGCTGCATTCTCTTTGCCAGTATGTTACTGAGGCTTTTGTATCTATGCCAGTTAGGGAGGTTGGCCTGTAGTTCTCTTAGTTGGGTTCTTCTACGGTTTGGGTAAGAGGTTAATGCTTTCTTTCAGAAGTGAATTTGGGAATACTGCTTCTCTTTGCGTTTCATTAAAGAATCTGAGCAGCACTGGTGTTAAATCTTCTAAATTTCTTGTGTGATTCAGTCCTTCAGGGTTTGGCATTTTCTTTGTTGTGTAGGTTTTTAATTTTATCTTCGATTTTGTTAACTGATATTGTTTCATTTGGGATTTATATATCTTATTGATTCAGTTTGGTAATTCATATGTAAGTAGGTTTTGGTCCATTGTTTTCTGTGTTTTTAATGTTGTCAGAATAAAAGTTATTGGAGTATTTTTTTCCCCCCTTCGGGAACCAGGGATTGAACTCAGGCCCTTGTGCTTGCCAGTGAAGCAGTTATTCCACTGAGCCATCTCCCCGGCCCCTGAATAGAAGTTATTGGAGAAGGTGTAGATGATCTTGATTTATGCAGGGTCTGTTGTGACTTCCACCTTTTTATTCATAATTATGTGGATTTGAGTCTTTACTTTTTGGATAAGATTGGCTAAGGATTTGTCCATTGTATTTAAATTTTCAAAGGATCAACTGTGATTTGTTGATTCATTGTACTATTTTTAGTCTGTAAGCAGTAACGTCTGCTCTGGTCTTTATAATTTGTTGTTTTTCATATATTTTAGGGAAGGGTCTACAGGGTGTTCAGGGTCTCACTACTAGATTGGACTCATAGTGATCCGCCTGTTCACAGCCTCCCAAGAGCTGGGATTACAGGTGCCGGCCACCACGCCCAGTCTCAGTCGCCCTCTCAGCGTGCCCTGGGCCGGCATGGCAGGCTTGAGGATCAAACCCCCAGCCCCTGCGCCCCCTTGCAGACACTTTAATCTGCTGAACTATTTGGCCGGCCCTTTGGTCTTTATAATTTGTTCCTTTATACAAGCTTTGGCTTAGTCTGCCCTTCTTTTTCTAGAAGTTTGAGGTTCCACATTAAGTTTATATGGTCCTGCTCCATTTTCCTGACAGGGTATTCACTGCCAGCAGTTCCTTTCTTAGCTTTCCTTGCATCCCATAAGCTCAGGCAAGTTGTTTTTAATTATCACTTAGTTGTAGAAACCGTCTAATCTCTTTAATTTCATCTGTGACCCACCGATCGTTCAGAAGGACTGAATATAATTTCCATGTGCTTGTGGAGGTCTTGTGGTTTCTTTTGCCTGTGGTTTCCAGTTTCGTTGTACTGTGGTCAGGTAACATGCGTGGGAGAATTTCAGTTCCTGTGCATTGACCGAAGCATGTTCTGTGGGTTAGTGTGTGTCCCCCGGGAGAACGTCCCTGTGTGCAGCTCAGAGGGACGCGTCTTCTGGGGGTGTGTGGCGGAGCACGCAGGACATCTGCTGCGTCCATTTGTATAAGACTCTGCTCATTTACATTGTTTGTTTCTTTCAGTTGTGTTATTTCAGAGTTGATTTTTTGGTGTAGACGATTAGTCACTGTAGTGACAGTGGGCTGTTGAGTCCCCAGTACAATTATATGAGTGCTTATTTGATTTTTTATGCCCTTTAGTATTTGTTGTTTAGGCTTGGGTTCCCTTGTATTTGCAGCATATATGTTTACGTCTGTTATGTTTTATTCTTGAACTGTGCCCCTTAGAGGGATGTAGTGACCTTTTTTGTCTCATTTGATCAGTCTTGACTTGAAATGCATTTTGTCTGAAAATACAATAGCTGCTCCTGCTTTTTTGTGAGTTCTTCTTGCATGGAATATTATTTTCTAGTCTTTGAGTTTCAGTCCATGAATTTCTTTTCAAATTATGTGTGTTTCCTTTTTTGAGAGAGAGCATCATGGTATATAGGTATGTGGTTCAGGATCGCCCTGTGTAGCCCTGGGTGGCCTTGAACTTGCTGCAGTTCTCCTGCCTCAGCCTGGGGTTGCAGGCAGGCAGCACCAGACTCAGGTTCAGTGTGTTTCTGTTCTGCAGCATATTTTTGGATCCCACTTCTTGATTCATCCTTCTAGTCTGTGTCTGTTGATTGGTGAACCCAGGCCATTGATACTGATGCTTACAACTGGTAGGTATTGACTTGTCCTGGTCATGTCATGCCTATTGTTGGCGTCCCCTTCTTTCCTTCCCTCCCTGTGTTTGTTTGCTTTGTGAAGGGATTCTTGGTCTCTCAGTGTGATACATTGTCCTCTGGAAGGAATGACATCAGGAGTGAGGGGAAGACAAGAGCTGGGTTAGGTGAAGACTTCTCCCCTCTCCCGCCCCCCCCACCCAGCAACAATATGGACGTTTATTTATACCCTTGTAAAGTAGTAATATGTGACACAAGGTTGCCTAGTGACTAATAGGTGACAGTAACCTGTCAGGATGCTCGCTTATCCCAGGACTGAGGTAGCTTGACTGCTGTAGACGCTGAGGCCTAGTTCTGCTTTCACACCTTTGACGGATTTCCAGCTTCCGTGGTGCCCAGTACACTTGCCTGGTGGCTTCCTTCTGTTGTGGTTCGTGGAATTTTAGGCCTTGTTTTGTCTGCCTGGAACGTCCTTTACAACACTTGAAGTGCTTTTCTGTGGTCATTCATTACCTGAGCTGTTCTGTGTTGTGCAGTATCTTTATTTCTTCCAGTATTGAAAGATCGTTTTGCAGGGTAGAGCACTCTAGTCATGTGACTACAGGTCATGTGACTGCAGGTGGGCCTTTGTGGCTGTCTGCTTATGGGTGTGGTGTCGCGGATTTAGAGCTGGTTGGTTAGTTGGGGGAAGAAGCGGTCACTGTGGGTGTGGCCTCAAAGTGTATGTAGGTGACTGCTGCTTCCCGGCCGTGCCTTGAGCCAGCTTCCTGTGTGCTCTGCCCCTCCGCCAAGCCACTCTGTTTTGCACTTCTTTGACTGAGGTCTGAAATCTCTATAAGCTGTGAACCCAAATCCATTGTTTGTCCTTTAAATTGTGGGGGTTGGGTATTTTGTCTCAGTGCTAAGGAACAAATTCACACAGACTTTTCTTCAGATACAGCATTTTAAAGGCAGTAGCACTTTCACGCCTGGTCTCATGGTTGGGTTCGTGGTGGATGCAGGTTCCGCTGTATGTGAGGCGTGAGGTTAGGGAGAGCTGTGCTTTCACTCCTCCTGCTGTCCACCTTCCATGCTGCTGCCGGCTGTGCTCGCTCTGTAAATGCCTGTCACTTTCCACATTAGAGTGCAGGCAGGTAAGCATGAGTTTCGTGGCCACGTAGCACGTCTGTGATTTCCAGTTAATTTATTCTCGACAGAGCTTTTGGTGGGATGTAGCAGTTGTGACAATACAAATATTACAGGAAATCAGAAACATCTTAAAGGGAGCTTTGGCCAAGGTGAAGCGTGTGCAGGGGAAGCCCCATCAGCTGCTTCCTTGCCTGCGCTGTGCATGTACTGCACTCTTCACTCTGCTGTTGCTTATTCCTTTATCCTCTGTGGGTGTCACTGTGCAGCTGCCTTCTAGATTTTGGACCTCAGAATATTCCATGAGTGCCGTAGAAATGAGTCCCACGAGAAGTCATTCCACGTGGTTCCTGTGTCTTGCTATGTTTCATACGTGGCCATGCCTGTGTCAGGGGCAAAGTGGTTTCCTCTCAATTCTAGTGGGTGCTTGGTTGCATTTTTTCAAATATAAGTTTTAATAGATGCAAAAAAAAAAAAAAAATCCCAGTTGTCTCCAGGACTGACATCTCCTGTATTGTCTAGAATTGCAATCCAGTCACTGATGTACATAGCTTGGAATACTCCAGAGTACAGAACATGGCTGTGAAGTGTACCAGTTCATCCTTCATTTTTGTATTTAGGACAGGGGCTACAGGGTCTCACTACACAGATCAGACTTGTAGTGATCCTCCTGTTTTCAGCCTCCCAAACACTGAGATTACAGGTGTGCACCACCTCGCCTGGTCTCAGTCATCCTCTCAGCAAGCCCTGGGGGTGGGGTGGGGCGGGGCTGGCACAGCACACAGGGGATTGAACCCTGGTCCTTATGCGCCTACCTCAGCAGGCACTTTAGTCCGCTGAGCTATCTAGCCGGCCTTCATCCTTCATTTTTGCATGTCTACCTACTAGTTGTGACTTTCCCCAATTCTATTCTGTTGCCTATTTCCTCAGATAAAGTCAGGGATCTTATCTTTCCTTTTCCTTCTTCCTTTTCCCTTTCTTTTCTTTTTTCTTTCTTTCTTTTTTCTCTTTTTGAGACAGGGTTTTACTGTGACGTCCAGGCTGCCATGAGCTCACTTTGTTGCCCAGGCTGGTCTCCAATGCACAGCACCCTTCTGCCTCAGCCTCCTGAATGTTGGGATTACAGATATAGGCAGTGTACCTAGCTTGGACCTTATATTTTATTGGCTGTTCTCTCATGAAGTTTAAATGTTTTTCTTTCTTTTGTGTTCAGTTTTGATTTGTTACACAGATTCTTTTATAGAATATGCTATCATTTATAGACTACCATGATTTTCAACATCTGAATTTCTAACTGTAGTTCTGATAACTTCATGATTTTCTTCAGTGGAAAACCATTTTCTTTCTTCTGCCAAATGTGTTCAGATATCTCTTGTTTCAAGATGTAACTTTAATTATCACACCAGGCATAAAAAGATCCCTGTTTCTCCTTGCATGCTTTATTGCACAGAATGCCAGTAACACTCCTTTGTGTGATATACGGCTTGTAGTAGGATAAGCCCCCAAAGCCTCATGGAGTCATGTGGGGCTTTTTAGAGGTGCAAGGATCTATCGTTTGTTAAAATGGGGTTGATTTGTGATGGAAGTCTAGGATTAAGAGTGTGAGCACCACCTGGGAAGCCTGGGTTTAATGTAAGAGGAGAGTTGCTGCTACTGGTTGCTGCCTCCTGCTCTCTGCTTTTGTCTCCTCCTGCCTGCCCTGGGCCATTCCCCTCTGCCACACTCCCCTGCCGGGCCGCCCTTCCTGGGAGCCAGACAAAATGGGCAGAGGGCTCTGCAAACTCTGAGCCACAGCAGTCATTTGCTTGTTAAATTTTATGTGTTGAGAATTTTGTCTCTGCAGTGGGGAAAATGTAACCAAGACATTCTGTGTGCATGTGAGCTCGTTGAAGGTCTCCTTTTCTTTAGGCTGCTTGTCATTCTTCGCTCATAGAGCACTGCCCCCAGAGCTAGTGTAGAAACTCCTGTACCTGAAAGAAGCTGTCACATTTGGATGTGTGTGAAAGGAAAATTTTTTTCTTTCATTGTGAGTGCCTATTCAGTTTGTAAAATCTTTTTTTTTTTTTAGTAGAACCAGGGATTGAACTCAGGCCCTTGCACCTGCCAGGCAAGTGCTTATTCTACTGAGCTATCTCCCTGGCTCCCAAAATATTTCAGAAGGTCAATTCTTTTGGCTTTGTTTGTTTGTTTGTTGGTTTGTTTTTGGAGGAACCGGAGATTGAACTCAGGCTCGTGCACTTGCCAGGCAAGTGCTTATTCTTTTTTTTTTTTCTTTTTGGCGGAACGTGGGATTGAACTCAGGCCCTTGCACTTGCCGGGGAAGTGCTTATTCCACTGAGCCATCTCCCCGGCCCCTCCTGTAAAATCTTGATGAAACACACATTTCGTATGTATTTTCATCATACCCCCCCCATTTCTTTCTCCAACTTCCAGATCACTAAACTTTGGTATAAATGGTATTATTTCCTTAGTCCAGTTTTACTGTGCTCAGGTACTCTCCAAAACTAAGTAGTTTTTCATTAGTCTTCCAAGTCATTATTCATTTAACTTAGTGTTGTACTAATGATTTATCTATGAAAACAAGTTGGACTTTCAAAATATTGGCTAAGTAGAATCACAGAAGAAAAGATCAATTCTCTGAGTAATAAGTTGAGGGGAAAAAAAAAACCTATTTTCTTTTATCCTCAGTAATTCACCAGATATTTTCCTGCTTTAGATTTGATTTTCTAGACTCCTTGGAGGACCCTTTCAGGGTAGCACTGTACGAGTAAATCTGGGCTTAGCCAGCTGGAGAAGCAGAATTTGAGTTCTGCCTTGGGCTTGCAGTGCATTCTACTGCAGTGTATTCTAGTGCACCATCAAATTTCCTGTATGACAAGTGTGTATAGGTGGAGAATAGGTGTTGGTCCAGTGAGAAGCGTAAACTTTGGAGATGTCAACCTCGCTGAGACTTTTGAGTATAATTGAGATGCATTTTGTTGAGATCTCACTCTTCTTCTTGAAATCCATGTCTGATGGTGTAGGAGGCAGTGACCTTCGAGGACGTGGCTCTGAACTTCTCTAGGGAGGAGTGGGCGTTGCTGGATCCATCCCAGAGGAAGCTCTACAGAGATGTGATGTGGGAAAACTTCAGGAACCTGGCTTCCATAGGTAAGCAAGATACTGTTCTCTCATTTATGCACTTAGAGAGCGTTGGATCATGCTTGTCAGCAGAGTTTCATTAGCAGCAAGATGGAAATATGATGCATGTTCCGCGCATGTTTACATTTCTACCATGAATCTAACTGCTGTCTATTGACTTTGGTACATGTCGCAAGTCAACATTGTATTTGTCTCTGCACTTTAGGAAGGATCTCAGGTGCACAAAACATTGAAGATGAGCATAGCAGTTGCGGGAAAATTCCAAGGTAATTGCCTTCCTAAGAGTTACGTGTGCAAGTGTCAGAATAGTGAACCCAAGCAAACTAAACAAACAAGACCACGTTCAAATTGTTTTATCACAAAATTTCTCTATAGCTTTATACATTTTAAGATCTGTCTGTATTCTGACAGTTGATTCTGTGAAACATTTCAATGTCTGAAATGTAGATGGGAATATATTATGGCAAAAGTGAGATTTTGATCTGATGTAAAGTTGAAATGGCACAGTGGCGCCTATGTAGAGTCCCCATAATTGAGAAATTATAGAAAAAAATTGCTGCAAGTTGCAGGTCAGCCTGGGCTATGCTGTGAATTCAAAGCCAGCTGATATTATAGACAGAGATCCTGTCATTACAAAAAAGAACTAATAAGGTATCTTCTATGCTGATAGATACATTGAATGAAACTGCGTTTAACCATTGAGGACAGAAGTATATAAAGCAAATGCGTCACTCTGAGTTAAGTTCTAATTAAATGCATGTATAATTAGAATAATTATATTTTTAAAAGTCCTCTTTTGGGGGCCAGAGAGATGGCTCAGTGGAGTAAGTGCTTGCGTAGCAAGCACAGGACCCTGAGTTCAATCCCTGGTTCTGCCAAAAATAAACATAAATAAATGTCCTCTTTCATCTCAAACATGTAAGTTTATATAAGTGATACTGTATTTAGTTCAGTATGTTAGAAATGTTTTCTTATAAAATTGCTAATTTGTGGATGCATTGAAAGTACAAGCAAATGCCTCTGTTTTGGTGATCACTGCTTTTGAAGAGTCCTCCACAGCACACACTCCATTCACATTCCAAAGTATCAGAAGGTGCAGCCCTGTATTGTTGGTGGAACTGTTAATGTGCAATATGTTCTCCTCAGTGTTGGATAACCCAAAGACACTGATGCACACATACCCATGTTAGCAGCACTACTTAGAAATCTGAGCTCTGGAAAAGTCCTAAATGCCCATTTGCAGGTGAATTGATTAGGGAAATGTGGGATAACCTGGGGTATAAAAGGAGCATGCTTGGAACCGTAGCACTCAGACAACCTTAGCAGGAAGATCGTGCCTTCATCCCTAGCCTGGGCAACTACTTGATTCACGAGAGTTTCTCAAAATATAAATGAGGGGGCTGGCGAGATAGCTCAGTGGTCTAAAGCGTCTGCTTAGGCAAGCATGCAGGGACCTCGGTTCGATCTCCAGCACCACATGCCATGCCAGCCCCACCCCCAGGGTGGGCTGAGCTGACCATAAAAAAAAAAAAAAATAATAAAATAAAATAAAAATAAAAATATAAATGAAAACCATTGGATTTATCTCAGTTCTAAATCCCTGGGTTCATTTTCCAGCATTGAGAAATGTGCAAGGTACACACATAACGGCATAGTTTTATACACAAAACATTGAAGTGATGGCATTTGCCAGTGGGTGGATGGGATTAGAGTCCGTAACGCTAGATTAAGTAAGTCAGAGAACTTTCACTATCATAAGTTACATTTTTCATGAGAATTGCAAAAACATGAATAAAGGAGTACAAAAAGAGATGGTTGGGTTTCTTTTAAAAAAGGCAGCTATTTTGCAGTGGGTGAAGAGGCTCTGTGGAAGGGAAAGGATGGAGTCATGGAGGAAAACATAGCAAAACACAGTGTATGGGACATGTTTCATCAAGATGTGTTCCAATTCCTCAAGATGAAAGTAGGGGTTATGTATAGCAAGTGGGCATATTACCAACTGGCATATGCATCCTGCTGTTTGGGTAAAATCTGTGTCCAAGCAATCATGCAGGGTGTATAGTGGGTGGATGATTAAATATTCCTAGGGGACATCAAGCCAGAACTCTTCACAGTCAATCATTTCTAAAACACTGTTAAATGTGATTGGTTTATTTTATTTTATTTTTTTCTGTCCACTTTTACAGAAGTGTAGGTATGGAGAAATCCTCTCAATATAAATTATTGTATCGACATGAAGAAATAAATTCTCAGACTCCAGATCTAGATGTGCACATGAAAGTTATTGATGTGAAAACTGGTGAAAGCCTTTCCTATAGAAGGGCTCATGATGATCATTCATCGGTACATGGGCCCACCATGGCTAACACTGCACTCAAACCACACAGGAATCAGGGATTTCAAGGGAACTTGCCTACCTGTAACAAACATGGGAAAGCCTGCACAAAACTGCAGTCTTGTCAATCTTGTCAGAAATGTGCAAAGACAATTCCTGGGGAGAAGACCCAAAAATATTTGACATGTGAAAAATCTTCCTCTCATTTCACTGAAGAAAGTACCATTGAAGAGGAACCGGATGCCAAATCATGCATTAAAGACAATAATATTCTAATTGATGAAATAGGTGACAGGGAGATGACTGTGTATATGTACACACCATGTGGAGAAGGTTGTAATTCTCATGAGAATATCCAGACACATGAAAAACCTAACTATACAGAAAACATCCATGAGAGTAAATACCAAGGAAAATCCTTCAATAACACTTCAGTGAGTAATCCTGAAAGAATTCACACCGGAGTGAAACCTTATGTATGTAACCAGTGTGGGAAAGCTTTCAGCAGATGCAGTGATTCCAAAAAACATGAACAAACTCACACTGGGGAGAAACCTTATGTATGTGAGCAATGTGGGAAAGCTTTCAGCACCCGTGCTTATTGTAAAATACATGAAAAGAGCCACACTGGGGATAAGCCCTATGTATGTCAGCACTGTGGGAAAACTTTTACAACTCACAGGGCTTGCAAAGTCCATGAACGAGCACACACTGGAGACAAACCCTATGTATGCAGGCACTGTGGAAAAGCTTTCAGCACCTCTGGTTATTGTAAAATACACGAAAAGAGCCACACTGGGGACAAACCCTATGTATGCGAGCACTGTGGAAAAGCTTTTACAACTCACAGGGCTTGCAAAGTCCATGAACGAGCACACACTGGAGACAAACCCTATGTATGCAGGCACTGTGGAAAAGCTTTCAACACCCCTGGCTATTGTAAAATACATGAAAAGAGCCACACTGGGGACAAACCCTATGTATGCGAGCACTGTGGGAAAACTTTTACATCTCACAGTGCTTGCAAAGTCCATGAACGAGCACACACTGGAGACAAACCCTATGTATGCAGGCACTGTGGAAAAGCTTTCAACACCCCTGGTTATTGTAAAATACATGAAAGAATTCACACTGGGGAAAAACCCTATGTATGCCATCAATGTGGGAAAGCGTTTAGCAGGATAAGTCAGTGTAGAGAACATGAAAGGATTCATAGTGTAGAGAAAGGCTATCCATGTAAGCACTGCGGCAGAGCATTCAACACCCGTGTTTATTGTGAAATCCATGAAAGAAGTCACACTGGGGAAAAACCCTATGTGTGTAAGCATTGTGGGAAAGCTTTTAGCAGGAGAAGTAAATGTAAAGAACATGAAAGGATTCACACGGGGGAGAGACCCTATGCATGTAAGCACTGTGGGAAAGCCTTTCGCACAAAAAGTCATTGCAACGGACATGAAAGGATTCACACCACAGAGAAAGCCTATGTATGTAAGCATTGTGAAAAAGCTTTCAGCACCCGAGCTTATTGGGAAATACATGAAAGAACACACACAGGGGAGAAACCCTATGCATGTCAGCAATGTGCTAAAGCTTTCATCACAAAAACCCATTGTCGAGTACATGAGAGAAGTCACACTGGGGAGAAACCCTATGTGTGTCAGCAGTGTGGAAAAGCTTTCAGCACAAAGAGTCTTCGTCGAGTACATGAAAGAACGCACACTGGGGAGAAACCTTATGCATGTCAGCAATGTGCTAAAGCTTTCAGCACAAAAAGTGTTTGTCAAGTACATGAAAGAAGTCACACTGGTGAGAAACCCTATGTATGTAAGCAGTGTGGAAAAGCTTTCAATACAAATGGCGCTTGCCAGTCACATGAAAGGAGTCATACTGGCGAGAAACCATATGTGTGTAAGCAGTGTAGTAAAGCTTTTACAACAAAAGCTAGATTGCAAGTACATGAAAGAGCTCACATTGCAGAGAAGCCTTATATATGTAAGCAGTGTGGGAAACCTTTCAGCAGAAAATGTAATTTGCAGGTACATCAAAGGGTTCACACAGGTGAGAAACCCTATGTATGTGAACACTGTGGGAGAGCTTTTGGTTCAAGACAGTATTGTAAAGTACATGAAAGGACTCACTTAAGAGTCCTATGCATGTGAGCAATATGGCAAATCTTTCAGCACATACAAATATTATCAGGTTTAAGAGGACTTGCTGCAGAGAAAAATCTATACATGTGAGCAGTGTGGAAAAGCTTTCATCATGTAGTCATTGAAGGACTTGAAAGGACTCACACTGGAGAGGAAAATGCTACAAAAGCCACAAGAAGGCTTTCAGCACAAAGTACAACTGTAAAATGTAAAGACTCACACTTGGGTTAAACACCATGTACGTAAACACTGTAGAAAGCTTTCAGTAGAAAAGTCATTGGAAAGGAAATGAAAGGAATGATCCTGCAGAGAAACCCATGGCATGTAAGTAATGTCAGAAAGTTTTTGGCATGCAAAGTGTTTGAACAACACATAAGCACTGCTGAAATGTTCTCTGTAAGTAATGTGTGACTCCATATAGTACTCAGAGGTATTGTGAGATATAGAAGGAACTCTCCCATAGGAGAATGACTAAAGAATAAACCAAAGCCTTCTCAGTGCACTAAGCATCATACACAGTCAAAAGTAAGAATAGAAACTGAATATATAAGATGCCTTAGCTGGCAAGACAGCTCAGTGGACTAAGTGCCTGCTTTAGCAAGTGGAGGGACCAGGGTTGATCCCCAGTCCTGCATGCCTTGATGGCCCCGTCCCCAGGGCTCACTGAGGCCAACTGAGTTGGCGTGGTGGCACTTGCCTGTAATCCAGGTGCTGGGGAGGCTGAAAACAGGATCACTCTGAGTCCGAGCTGTGTAGTGAGACCCTGTACCATATACATAAATGAAGCAAACAAGCTGACTTAGGCTGACATGAATCAGATGGGATAGAACCTTTTGTCAATAACATGACCACTTTCAGTCCACATGATATTAAATAAATGGAGGATTCATAGTAAAGAGTCAGAATATCTATGAGCAATGTTCGAAGGGTTTTTCAACTAAAATGCATTGAAGAAGTTAAATACAAGAAAATGTCTAGAAACCCTTCAGTTCCTCCAGTAACCTAGAAATACATGAAAGAACTACCAAAGAGAAGTCCTGTGTCAGTGGTGGGAGCGTGCACTGCTCGATGCCAGCGGCATCACCAAACTAGAGTATCGTGGGTGTTAGCATAAGAGGAGCACATGAGAAATCTCCATGTTCACGTGACGCTTCACTGATAATGGCCTTGTTTTTCTTTTCATGGCCTTGTTAATGTATATGGTATAGGAGTACCTGTAGAAAACACCTAAGTGATGTAGAATAATTATCAGTTACACTGCACATTCAAATGAATATTGTATCAAATCCTCATGACCTGGCAAACACAAGGGCCTGAGTGCAATCCCAGTGCAGTGTGTGGTTATGGGATTGAACCCGGGCCCTTTGCTTGCATAAGCAGGTGCACTTAGTCTGCTGAGCTATTTCACCAGTGTTTTTTTATTATTTTTATTTAACTTTTAAAGAATAAAAAAGTGATACAAAAAATAAACATTAGTCTCTCTCTCTCTCTTTTTTTTTTTTTTTTTTTTTTTTTTGGTGGAACCAGGGATTGAACTCAGGCCCTTGCCCTTGCCAGGGAAGAGCTTATTCCACTGAGTCATCTCCCTAGCCCCAAAAATAAGCATTAGAAATGATAACAAGATTTCAGTAAACAAAGTAGTAGTGGTTCAACGATGGCTGCTGTACTACGTGATGTTATCTTCAAATCCCAGTTGTCCAGATTACCAGATATAAAAGTATAAAATTCTTTGACAGAAAAAACAAAGCATTAACAAAAAAGTTATAAGAAATTCAAAAGAGGAAAAAACAAATCAGAGTAAACAAAAATTTAAGCATTACATGCTCCTTTGAAAAGGCCGGCAGAAATCGATAATACAGTTATCCAACTATTCTGCATATATACCTATGTATACTTTTTTCTTTTTTTCAGTTGTCCCTTTCCTCATCCCAGTTTTTCCTTCCCATTGAACAATTTCTTTCCCTCTCATTGTATCTGTTATACCTTTTAGATTGTGTTATGGATTCTTAACACAGAAATCAGATCTGAGTCCAAATTAAAATTTAAATAGCCTTTTATAACCAGGCCTGGGACTGTTTGACCATACTCACGCAAGGAGCAAGCAAACAGCCAGGAGCCTTAGAAGTATAGAGATTTTATTTTATTTTTTTTATTTATTTTTATTTATTGATTGATTTATTTTTTGAGAAAAAGGTATATATTTAGAATTAGCCAGCTGGACTCAGTTTAGATGATCCCAATTTTGTTGGCAACATCCAGTGCATCATAATCAGGAGCCAGTCGAACATATGCCTTCTTCTCTCCATCAGGCCTGATTAGGGTATTGACCTTGGCAACATCGATGTCATAGAGCTTCTTTACACCTTGTTTGATTTGGTGCTTATTGGCTTTGACATCCACAATGAACACGAGTGTATTGTTGTCCTCAATCTTCTTCATGGCTGACTCTGTGGTCAGGGGGAACTTGATGATGGCATAGTGGTCAAGCTTGTTTCTCCTGGGGGTGCTCTTCCGAAGATATTTGGGCTGCCTCCGGAGCCGGAGCGTCTTGGGACAGCGGAAGGTGGGTGACGTTCGTATCTTCTTTTTGTGGCTGTGGATTCCTTTCAGCAGGCCTTTTTGGCCTTCAAAGCTTTTGCTTTGGCTTCAGCTTTGGGAGGGGTAGGGGTTTCCTTCTTTGCCTTCGGTGCCATCTTGGTAAAAAGCTAGAGATTTAAAGGTAGAAACCGTATCCTGTTTGGCAAACAAATTTGTCATTTAACATAGAACAGTACCTTTACGGACAGAGTGACCATTACTCGGCATATATTTTTTTCTGGGAGCACTTTTCTGGGAACTCTCAGTCTATTGATGATTTATCAACAGTACACCAAGCCTCCTTGCGGTCTTACAAGGAAGCAGGTCACAGAAAGTTGAGCAGAGTAATTTTTTACATTTAGTTTTACATTAACTCATCACATTAACTCTACATTCCCCACTAGTTTTTGTACATGATTTAAATCCTTGATTCATTTAGTTTATATATGATTGGTTGGTGAGGGGACTCTAGTAACCCTCAAAAAGGGATTTTTTTTTTTTTTATCTGCCCAAGGTGCGATAGTTTTACATCTCCAGCTCTAGTAGAAGAATACCCCATCTTCCGTGGCATCCCCACAAGTATGATAGCTGTTTGTACTAGGGCACAGATAGAATGGTGGAGACCCCTGGCTAAATTTTTTATTGGGGCCCATCTTATTTTATTATTTTTACATCTAAAAAGGTCCAGTAGGGAAACATAACTTGGGGTTTTGAGTAGGAATCTCTGTCCCATCTAAGGTCCAAGTCAGCCACCACATATAAGTAGTGGGAGACTGTTGAGGCTCTGCTAGCCCTAACAAGAACCAGTTGGGCCACATTTGGTCAGTTTGACCTTGAGGGCGTCAGCAGTCTTTTGTAAAGTTCACTTATCTGACGATCTGTTGAGGCTGGCTTAAAGTGGGTGGTCAGTCCAGTGTTTTTTTGTTTTGTTTTTTTTTACTGTGATTGTGATGGGTGTGCTCAGGACAACAGGGTATGGTCCAGTACAGCGGGGTCCAAAAGTGGACAGGTCTCACTTCTTGATCCACACCAAGGATCCAGGCTCGGGTGCCAACAGGGTGTCGGCTTCTCTGGGTTGTGGGTGGTGATGGCAGAAGAGGAAATGTGTAGACTGCAGAGCCTGTAAGGACTTAACAAGTTCTTGATTAGAAATGGGTGTCAGGATTTCCTCCCTCAACTTAGGGATTCAAAGGGAGTGATCTCTTGCGTCTCAATCTTTTTTTTTTT